TAGTAAAAGCGTGAACGAACTGTCGGTTTGGGCACCTATTCACTGTGTGTTGTCTCTTTAGCGGTTCACGGGTGGTGCGAAGGCCGACGGCTCCCATTATGCCGCTGCCAGTGTCGCTACATTAGCATCCTCATTATTGTCTTAAGAATAATTACTATTTTAAGAAATCTTGACAGGTAATTTTTATCTTTACACGGTGATGTCATTGTGGTTTATTTCAATGTTATTTCCATATAAAGAAATATTGCATGAGTTTTATGAATACTTTGAATATTTTTCTGTGGAGTGTAAATTTAATTATTGAATCTTAATTATATTATATTATAATCTACAATTCTAGTAACTTCATATGATAGCTAATATAACAAAATATATATTATAAAGAGCCGTGATAAGCGCTCCCTATAGATTTCATGGTATGTTACCAGCCCGGGTTCAATTTTAAGTGCCGATTCAGGCGTGCTTAGCGGACGGTAAACAAGAGAAAACCTGCATTTCTGTAATATAAAATAAAATATCTTTTCGAAGACATGTGAAGTCTTATAGGGCGCATTAGGGCAGAGTAATGGATACCTCCTAGCGATAATACCTCAGAAACGTGCGGAGGCCTGTGCCTAACAGTGAGACGTATATAAGCTGTTATATTAAAATATATTATCACGGATCAGTAAGCCAAAATGGTGATGGGCCGGCCATATAGTTGAAAGAACTAACAACCAATGGGGCAGAAAGATTCTCGAGTAAAAGCCTCGGACAGGTAAGCGATGTGTTAGGCGACCCTCTACTAGATGAAGTGACAATTTGGTAAGACATGCAGGAAGTCGTTAGTAGCTAGTGGCTCAGGACCTTGTTGTGTGGGATGCCTAAGGGAGTCCTATGTTTGACTTGTCAAGAGCTGTAACGGTGATGACGATGATAACATACTATATATATATATATTTTATATTCTATTAAAATACTATCCTAAAAATTACAAATTGATCATCCTTATTATCTTATAACCTTTATTCAAAGCGATATACTTTTTTACGTGGTAGAGCACTGCTGCAGTTAGGTATATTATGGTTGTAGTCCTAATGGGTCAGGTCGTCCGGGGAAGGACCACGCCCTCACAGAATACCAATGTGAAATAGCAGCTTGAAGCTGCTGTGTTTAGTATGGTGAGGGTAGAGAACCATAGACCATTTTTACTGGAAACGAGGTATTCCATCTTAGTCCTCGGGGATCACAATGCATCTTATGAAATGCCTAGTTGCCAGTATATAATGGTCTCCGATTCGCATCTTACGAAACATTGCAGCATTATGCTGCTAGTTTACGTTAGTATTCTGTGAGAGCGTGGTACATCTCCAGTAAACCACGCTCAACGATATCATCGATTGAGATTCATAATGCAGAAGCGTTGGTACTTCTGATAACTGATGCTACGGTTCCAAAAAGTAACGAATTTGGGACCCCTTCTTGAATCAATTGTTTAGTTACCACTTTCGTGAATAGAATATTATATTAAGAATAGAATGATGAATACAATAGAATATTATTTTAATAATAATTAAGATTAGTTAAGAAATATTAATTAAGAATATTACAACCACTGCTGTATTCTAGGATGAACATTGAGAGAGTCAGCAAATAATTACGGTTACGGTAATTTAGTTTAAATTTAGCTCCCTTAAAATTAGGACTTTACATTTTAGTTAGAATTGCAAGATTATCGTTCAAAAATACTTTATCAAATTTTATTAAAATAAACGGTATAATGTTATAATATCAGAAAATAAGGTAGTCTTTACATAATATTCATTAGTCGGTAAACCAAGAGAAATGATTCAAACTAAATATAATTCATATTCGAATTTTAGAATCTAATCCTTTTATTATGTACTTAACAAATAAAAATTATACCGCGAATATTTTGAAATAGTTAAAGCGAAAAAAACTTTATTGATTATTATCCACTAATTAACTACTTTAATATATAGCGATATTTTCTGCTAATATTTATTCTTTACTCTTTTGCTAATATTATCGACATAATATCATCCACACTGACGTTAAATCACCCAAAGCTCTTAAAATTAAATAACGAACATTGGCATAAATACACCGTTACAGAAATATAATATGTAAGTGCATAACTATAAAGATATGTTCCCTAGACAACAGATAGTCGGTACATTACCGGTCCGTTCTAAGAGACTCGATACCATCGCTAGACCAAAAGCATTCTCATACAGAAGCACCCGAATCGGAATGTTATCGTCGACAAATCAAATCGCGGCACAATTACGTCAATTATAAAATTATCTAAGGCTTTTATCAAGCACCCTCCATTCAACGTATACTAGAGAAAAAATCGAACTTTAAGGCGTTTATCGATCGATGAATCTTTAAGTAGGTAGGAAGTTATACAGAATAAACTAACAAATTACTTAACTAAATTGAAAAAACGTGACTAATGAAAGAGTCATCATCATACATTTGGTGAAAAGATATTTCAACAATAGATCTCATAAAAATATCTACTAAAAGCTGGGAAAATAGAAGTGACCTACGCAGCTTTTTAGCATCTTTTCCCTTATCTAATTAATATCTATGTTTATCTGTTTGTTGTGTTAGGAGTGGTTCAAGATAATCGACAGAGGGCGGATTCAAAATAACGACTTTAAGTTTACGATCTGCATCCATAACTAGGTACTAGGCTAGTTTCCTCCGCTCATACGAGTACATATACGAAACAATATTTTTTCAAGATTTGTCTTATTTAATCTGCTTCGTATGATTGAAAAATAATTCTCATCTAGTGATAGGGGTACTTGAGCTTCTTTCAACCAAGTGATTTTTTATAACCGTTAAACTTGACAAGAGAACTCTCTAGTTCTGGAGTGGAATGACATTGTCGCGCTCATTTCTCTGACAGGCGCGACAAAGTCGTTCCACCAATATGAGTGCCAATTCCCCTGTGTGTCATTAGGAAAGATTTTTATTGTTGAAATGTCACTATAAACCTTAATATCATTAGTTAGAATATAAAATATGTTATATAGATTAATACTAGTTAATCAAAGTACACACTAACGCTCAATCTTAACGAGTTATCACTCCGTACCATTAATTATTTATATATTTAACTTTAGTTGCTAGCGAGACTGGAGGGCTCAACACGCTGACGCGACGTTACAGGCGGCTGCCATTGTCCGAAAACCTTTCTCACGATTCACGATCGCCCAGATTGCCCAGTATCACTGCACCCAGTCGTTCCAATATAATGTAGCTGATTGTAATATATTTTTTATTTTTTCCATTAATGATTAATCATTTTGAAATTGAAATCATGCTATAAAAACTACGGCAGCTATAATATAAAGATGCCTCTTACATAAAGATGTCCTACATGAGGATATAATGAAATCTCTATTTAGGATCTCTTTTTTACTATTATAAGCCAGTTCTTGACTTCTATCCCAACTAATGGTGAGTGGTGATTGTTGGTAAAGCACAGTTAAACTGTGATCATAATTAATATTTTTATTATCCATCAATTTATAATTATCCCTTTCAGGCTAAAATAATAAAGAAAAAGGTTTAAAATTATTAAACTGATTAAAAGTTTTAATATATACTATTTCCGGAAACATCCGTTAAATGAGAGCCGTGCTCATGGGTTTGCGCTCGTAAATTTCACAGTACGCAAAATGAGTTCGATTCCCTACGGCATCTACGAAATTGTTATAATATTAATAGTAAAAGTGTTGATAAAACATAGTAAGGAAAACTACATCTGTGAGGAACAAAATATTTCGGGTATATGTGAATTCCTTGGTCTTCTGTGTTTAAATTTTGCTACCCATGCACTCATGTAGCTTACCGTCAGATAGACTAATCTGGTTCTTACTTCAATTTCGTTATCTTGTGAATATTTAATATTGAATTGGACTATGATATATAATATTAGAAACCAAATGTTTTTATTTTAAATATTTCACTGTCCCGTCCCGTGAATCTAACATGAACATTTCGATTGTATAACTATTGTCTTTTTTGCGGAAAGGGAAGTTGTTAAAAGTGAATTTTGAACTAAAATGTTATATTTCATAAGTATTTTACGCATGCTAAATAATTTTTATTTAATAATTAAAAAGAAATAAGCAAATAACTCTTTCCGGCAGCGTCCATTACAGCCTATAAAAGTCCACTGCTGAACATATGCCTCTCCCATAGATAGCCTCATAAAGGGAATTTGCGTTAGTTGCCACGCTTGGCAAGCGGGTTGTCAATCACAGTTTTTATTATTTTGAATTGTTATCAGGAATTAGGCGTTGCCCATCTCCTGTTCCAGTTTACCTCTGTCGCCTCATACGACACCCACGGGATATCATCCCGTGGGTGTCGTAAGGGGGAGGAATTCCGTGGATGTGGGAAGCGAAATAGTGGGTATTCTTCCACTGCCACTACCGCTTAGCAGTTCTTTCCGACAGCGTGTATGAACTTATTAATCCAAAATATCTCGTAGGTAAAAGGAATGGCAAAAAATATTGGACTTACTAGATAATAGCGCTTTTCGATATACTTCACTTATTAAATTGCGATCCTAAACACCTGTCAAGATTTTGTCTACTTTAGCAATGGCAATCTGATGAGGGCTCAGTATTATCCAACCTTTTTTGCCCAATGCCCTAAAATATTATAAATTAACTTATTAGCTATATTTAATAGTCAATTCGTATATTATCTTGCTTCTTCCTTTATCTGCCTTTTGAAGTCACTGCTGAATATATATAGGTATTTTTCCTTATGAGATTGAGTTTGTCATATAAGATAAAATTTCCACCACTGATTCCTTGTAAGAGCCTTGTTCGTAAGTTAATAGGGAGTGTGCAGTGCAGGTGTGGAGGAAAAATATTAGTTTAGGGTATATTCACCTTTAGTCAGAATTATCCTGATTGATTAAAATTATAGCATACCTGTTTTCCCACATACATATAGTGTTTCATTTACAGACACACTCGGACCAAATGCCATTCCGTTGCGAATTCTGCTCAAGATTGTTCAAGCACAAACGGTCGCGCGATCGTCATGTCAAGTTGCATACTGGCGACCGCAAGTACCGCTGCGCTCACTGCGAATCTGCTTTTTCCAGAAGGTAGGCTGATGTTTAATATATATATTTTTTTAATATCTGAAAGTAATTTTACTAAGGAATATTAAAACCTCTAGACAAATATAGAATTTCGTCTAAATAGGTATTATATGGATTTTATTCTTCAAGTGAATTTACGAGAGCACTCCTAAAAAACCTATTTATTAAATAAATCCTTAAATTATCAGTTCACAATTGATGAATATATCACATTATATATTTAAATACAATATGTGTATATATGTATATGCATATACAAGAGAATACAGTCAAATTGAGAATCTCTTAAAAAAATCACACTATTTTCCAATTTATTTGCAAAAATATTTCACTAGCGATCCGCTCCGGCCTCTTCTCCGGGTGATATCTGGGTCTCGAAAACAGCGCCACCTACCGTGTCTAATTATAAATCTAAACCATCCAGGGACCCATTCAAACACACAAAAAATTCACCAAAATCGGTCCAGCCATTTCCGAGTTTTTGCGAGACTAACTAATAGCAATTGATTTTTATATATAGAGATATAACAGAAAATTTACTTCACTCAACCAAGAAATATTGTAACTTCAAAGGCGGAAATCATTAATCCATCCTTTTAAGTTGGAGATGTTATCACTATACTTGGCTCAGAGGATGCTAAAGGAGCGTTTGAGACAATGAGCGCGGGTAAGATGGATCACCGTAAGCCAAGATACAAAGCTCAACATTGCCTGCGAGGCGACGCGTCTCCTTTTTCGTCACCTCGCGGCGGTCACGTGACTAATCCACGCAATCCATCGTCAACGAACTGCCGAGCGGTGAAAAGGCACGAACCGCTGACAAATGGCGTTGAGGGTCTCACAAAAATGACATAATGGCCCGTACCGAAACGGGCACGACGAGCGCGGCCATTAGCTGAGATGTTTGGGCGAACGTCTCTTTCTGTAATTCTTGTGAAAAGCCCCTTTGTTAGTTACTTTTGGTCCGTGCTTTATGCGACCACTTATGTCTCATATGACAAATCGTCTCCTCTGATCTTACAATGGCGACTCATTGCATTTAGTTTTAAATTCTTGGACGGATGTTTTAAGCTAGGTGGACATTCTCACAAAAAAGAAAAAACATTAGACATTAGTAATCATGAAAAATAAAATTAATTCAAAACAGAGTGGTTTAAAAGTGTTTTTTATCACTGTCACAAACACTGACGTTAAGGCCGTTATTTATTTAAATTTTTTGAAGATACCACCGACTTGTTTGTTTATGTTTTTGATAGTTAATTGATATCTAGTTATTTTTAATTTAAAATAAAAAAAATGTAACTATTTAAGAGTATCAATTATTCATAGACACTATACAGATTTCGTTTATCTAGCAAAAAAAAATAGAATCAAACAATACTTTGCTTTGCTTTGTCAAGTCTGCAGTTTGTGACCATATCCTAGACGGCCCCCGCCATTACATTAGATTTGATAAACCACAAATTCTCTCGAAAGAACATCGATTCCTGCCAAGGATGATACGTGAGGCTATTGAAATTAAAAAACATCCTAATTTCAATAGAGAGGGAGGCTGGGTACTACCACCTGCTTGGGATCCTGTAATTAATAAAATTAAAACTAAACCGAAGCATACCACTGCGAGACTTCAAGACACAGTAAGTTCATTCTGCGTAGATCGGACCAAAATTAATAATTAAAAAAGCTGAAGGTACTTCGGATTAACTCTGACATCGGGACGTCAATCACCTCAGTCGCCCGTGATCACGGGTGCTGAAAAGCACCCGAAACGTCGGGAATAAATAAAAATAAGATAAATAAGTTTATTAAACGCGAAAAAATCCGTAAAAGTAGTTTTATTCAGTTTTCTTTATAATTATTTTTCATTTTGATTGTTGATATTTTTGTATAAAATATTTAAGTCATTGAGATATAAGTAACCATTTTTAAAATTTTCGATTGTCTGTCTGTCAGAGCTAATGTTCGGAACAGCTGAACCGATTGTAATAAAACTTCTCAAACAAACAAATAGAGAGTAATAACAGGAGTGATCTAGACTAAACTTTATTCGAAAAATTTATGGATTTAACTAAAATACAAATATTGATATGATAAAATAAATGGTCTTTATAACGCTACAATAATAGATCCTACACAGGAGAAGCCAGAGCGAGTCGTTATTAAAAAAAGTACTTGGACATACAATTCTTTTCTAATATTTTCCCATTAAAAGAAAATTTCAAATTAACCGAACAATATAACGTTATAACGACATACCGTTATCAGCGAGTTTTCGCTATTGATTTTTTGTGTGCTTCATTTTTTTGGGTCATCAGCCTGGACTTTCCACTCACAGATATGGACTTCTCCTATACTCCTACCTTGTTTTAATCCCACGCTTGACATGCGGTTTGACGATCCGCTGACGCAGTATTATACGTTTCACACGAGCTCTAATTTTAAAGCAATAGGTACTCGTACATTTTGAAGGTTCTAACTATATAAGGTTATAAAACTGTCTAAGGATTTTTAAAAAAAATACTAGTAATGCTATTAAACATTACTAATATTTCCTTTAACCATTTCTGGTAAGCTTAAAATGCTTGTGTTAGAAGTGATTCACGACAGTAGTCGAATGGCGGATTCGAACCCGCGACAATAATCTTTGTCTAGTGTGAAATATTACAACTTACCTATAGTCACGAAATCTAGAGATTGACGGCGCGGCAACTAAAAAGGATAAGTTTCTTTGTTTGATAATTTTCTTACCAGTTCATCATCTTCCTAGCCATCCAAGTTAGCAAACTGAAGCAATGAACACCGTCATCAAAATGATGACCCCATGTCTTTCGACTCACGGACACGGAGATGGGGTCAACTTTTTATACGTTTGTTTATATAAAAGTAAAGTAAGGTCTTACATATAGCCCTACATGAGCCAACCGATTAGTAAGCTGAAGTGGCAAAGGCCAGGCCATATAGTTTGAAGAACCGACAACTGATGGGAAGAAAGGTTCTTGAGTGGCAACCTCGTACCGGTAAGCGAGGTGTAGGGCGGCCTCCAACTAGATGGAGTAACGACCTGGTAAGATAGGAAATTGATAGATGCAGGTGGCTCAGGATCGTGCTTTGTGGCATTCCTTGGGTAAGGCCTATGTTCCGCAGTGAACTTGTGAAGGACTGTAATGATGATGATGGTCTTAAAACAAAAATGTAGGAAAAATGCTATATATATATATATAAATTCGTTATTCAGTTTTTCCATCTAGAAATTCTCAGTAACTGCCCGGAGACAGGAAGTTGGCGGTGTCTCACCCCCGTGCCTCGGAACGCACGTAAAGCCGTTGGTCCTGCACCTGATCTCTCTCCGGTCGTGTCGGCTTACCGTCCCATCGGACTATGAGAGTGAGGGAATAGAAATAAAGACTATGAAACATATTCAGCTACAGATAGGTAGAATAAGTTGATAGTATAGACATGATGGAATAGTTAGTCAAAATCAAATATTTTTATTCAAAATTGGCTGCTACAAATCACTTTTAAAAAGTCAAAAGCTACGTTTTTAATTTATCATCTATTAATTTCAGTGACCATCTGAAAATCCATATGAAGACGCACGATAACCAGAAGCCGTTCCAGTGTACCGTGTGTAACCGCGGGTACAACACAGCCGCGGCGCTCACATCACACATGCAGGGTCACAAACGGGACCGGGAAGGCCGTGATCAAGACCGCCGTCGAACCATGCGGTGCTTGCAATGCGGCGATGCTTTTCGACGCCCTGAAATGCTCCAGGTAAAGTACCTATTCATTATTTAAAATTCTTAAAAGTTGTTAAAGATCTATTTCACTCTCTCCTACTAACTGTTGGTTTACTAGAAAGATTCTCAGTATTCATTACACCATTTCACGTTCACAAGTTATAAAGAAGAACAAGGATACATTTTTAATAGGAAACTTAAAAAATAAATTAGAATACCAATCAATTATTACATATAAAAAAATGCTCTGAACATATTCAGAATCTGCATGAGAAATAAGTATAGATTAACAATTGTAATGTTATTTCTTTAAAAAAATCATTCAAAAAAGTAACTGCTCGACCAATTTTAATAAAAACCCAATTAAATACGACCTTCACGACCGATAAGACCTAATTTATCACGAACATACATACGTACAAGCGTACAGATGTACAGACGTTGACAGACAGATGCACACATCGTCCTCCTTAAAATCATAACATCCGCCTCATGCATCTCAAATCGGAACCTGGAGATATGTCAAAACTTGGAATTTAAAAAATCGAACCCGTTACAACAACTACTGGGAAGTTAAAAAACAATTTGTTACAGACGATCTTGCTTTTTCCAATTAATGTTATTATTTATTAAGTACAAGTAAATTGTCTGTTACTTAAACTTACAAGGAAAGTTAAAACACATCGTTTATATACATTATACATACAGGCTATTACAGTATTAAAGCCGAACGTCCACCGCGAACTAAACTATGTGAAAACTAGGCTCCGTGAACTAAATTAAGATAACCTGGAAAATCGTTGCAGTCCACCGAAAAATAAGCTAAAACAAACAACATTTAGCAATAGACATCAGAGGGGCAAGGTAAGGGGGTGAGAGGCGCTTAGCTTTGTTAGTTTGACTTAGTTTGGCTATTTTAACTAGCTTAGCTGGCTTTGGGTTTAAAGTTAATCCACTGAAGACTCAAGCCATTATTATTGGGAGTTCGAAATTAATCTCTCAGTTAACTTTGTCGCTGCTCCCGCCAGTCATATTCGAAGGGACACTTATCCCATACAGTGACAAAGTTAAGAATTTAGGTATTATGTTCGATCAGACTTTGTCTTGGGGACCGCAAGTGAGTGAAATAAGTAGAAGAATGTTTGCGGCAGTTGGTTCACTTCGAAGATTACGCAATGTTCTTCCCATTCCCACTAAAGTAGCGCTGGCTCAGTCTCTTCTTTTACCGATCCTTGACTACGCGGACACTTGTTATCTTGACCTAACAGTCGAGCAACTTAATAAACTTGAGCGGCTTCAAAATGATTGCACAAGATTATATTTGGATTACGAAATTATGACCACATATCCGAATTCCGCCATAAGCTCAAGTGGTTACCGATTCGCCTTCGCAGGAATACTCACATTTTTCATCTTCTTTACTGCATTCTGTTCAATCCGACCACTCCTTCTTATTTGAAAGACCAATTTATATATTTAAGTAGTTTACAGTCTTTACCTCTACTATCTCAAAATAATCTCCTTCTAAGTACTCCTAGTCATTCCTCTTCCTTCTATTCTAATTCTTTTACGGTTACCGCTATACGACTATGGAATTCTCTCCCCTTACATATTAAAGAATCTAAATCTCTTCCTATATTTAAAAATAAATTAAAACTTTATTACCTTTCCTCTTAAGTTACAACCTGTCGTCATTCACTTTTTTTTCTTTAATCACTTATGTTCTTCTATTTATCTTTCTATATTATATTCTGTACACCCCTTCCGCTATCTTTTAAAAATAGTATCCTCTGCCCTAAGGTTGCCTGGAAGAGATCGCTGTTTTAGCGATAAGGCCGCCCGTTGTACCAATGTCCCTTTAAATATAATATTGTAATATGTTCCTTGGTGTACAATAAAGTATATTTTACTTTACTTTTACTTTTAGCTGGCATAGTTTGCGGTAGACGCACATGTATGAAAAATTGGCTCGGCTATGCGAGCTAAGATAAACTAAGTTACTTTAGTTTGCGGTGGACGTTCGGCTTTAATGTCTGTAATTCTAATTCTTATTAATAAATATTTTCAGGCTCATATGGCAACAGCTCATGGCGTCGATGCAGCAGCTTTAACTCCACCAAGACGCGTTGCATCTCAACCACCTCCGACCCTTCTCGCCTGTATATACTGCACAAGAGATACGTTCACGAGTATGGAACAATTGCAACTGCACGTCCGCACCGCTCATTCAGCCCTACTGAATGGTGAAACTGCTATGCCTTCGACCATAGAACAGCCAGTTCCAACAGATCTAAGCAGAAGGACAAATGATGATGTCACAACAGCAAAACGCCCGAGATCTGGTTCCGGATCAGCCACGCCTCAGACATCTATGTCACCGAGTACTCTACTCTGCAATCAGTGTGACGCAGCCTTACCAGATTTTGAAGCTTTCAGACTTCATCTCAAAGGTCATCTTGAAGAAGGAGGTGAACATAACCGTACCAGTCCCGCGCCTTGTGTTCACTGCGGAGCTAGTTTTACGGACGTTGCTGCAACGGAACGCCATTTAGCAGCACATTATCTGGCAGTTTCCTGCGAATATACTTGCCACAGTTGTGTACGCAGTTTCCCCGCACCGGATGACTTGCAAAAACACCTCTTTGACTTGCATGCACACCACTTGTACCGTTGTTCACTCTGCAAAGAAGTCTTCGATTCAAAAGTGGCTATTCAGGTAAAAATCATACAAATAAGACCACGTATATTATTGCACTTTTTCAACATACCTAGTGAGAATGTAAAACATAAAAAGAATCAAGAAGTTTTATGAAGTACCTATTTTAAGACACAGAAACCAAATCGATGTTTGTTTTTATAGTATTAGGGTTACAAACTAGCACACAATCCACTTGATGGTAATTGGATGATGGGCCTCATAGATATCTACATCTTTCTTCAATCAAGAGTGAAAATACAGTTGCCAACCCCTAAGAATTCAAACGTAATGCCTCCCTACCAGTAAAAAAGGTTCCCGTTTCTCTACAATCACCATATGAAAAGTAGCATAATTTTTTGCTGTGTCACGCTAGTATTCTGGTAATTGGTTCAATTCATTTGTACTGCAGTTATAATCTAGCTGAAGCGTGGTTCTACTACTGCTGCTGCATACGCGTTACCTAATTTAAAGGGAAACTCCCTCCTTCCTTCAACTGTGTACACTATCACCGTCATCACTAATCCCAGCATCACTATCCCCAATACCACTACACTACAAAGGACCCACTGTCGATAATTCGACACGAGTTTTGCCTTTAAACGGGGCATTATCAGTAGAAATAGAAGACGATTATTACGCATCCTTCATTGCCTCATCTCTAATCCATGATAAGAGATGAGGTAATATAATGAAGTCCCTTATGCTGCCATCATACAGCGAAAGAATATTATTTAATGATATTGTCGACAAAAGCACAGTCCATCTGATGGTAAGTCGGGACTGTCTTGAGACTTTCAATCAAAAAAAGACGCTCACAGATTACGTGCGTAAAGCCATATGCGCAGGACATGATTATAGTACACAAGTACGTGCGCAAACAGTCTGATGACGGCTTATGTCAACGGCTTCATGTGCTTTGCGAGGCATTGCGTTGAAACATCGCCAACTTTCTGACGAGCTATTGAGAATTCCTTTGCAGAAAACCCAATTACTGATTATGGCTTGATCTGGAAGCACATGACGCTTATGAATGGCAGTCTAATACATGAATACCGTAGACTATAGACTATAGACTTAGTAGGTTTAAAAAAATACATTTGGCAAAAAAAACATTATTTTTGACATTGAATAAATATAAATGTTTACATCATTGAGCTATTATGTACTACGGACGTAAGTACATATTACTTCAATGGTTTACATAAGATTAATTTTACAAATTATAACGCGTTTAATTTTAAATTTCTGACGTTTCGAGCGCATTACAGCACTTACAAGGTGACAAGGGGAGGAGGTCGGGTGGGGATTATAATTAGAAATCACTATATTTAATGTGATTTGATTGCAGGTGCACTTCGCGGTCGCACACAGCGGCGAAAGTAAGGTGTGGATGTGCCGTCCCTGCGGCGGCAGCGCGGGCGCGATGCGCTCGGAGGCGGAGGGTGCGGCGCACGTGCGCGCGCGGCACGCGGCGGCGCGCTGCGGCTGCGGCGCCGCGCTGCCCGCGCCGCCCGCGCTCCGCCGCCCCTACCGCTGCCCCGCACCCGCCTGCGCACACACCTTCGCAGTGCAGTACCTGCTCGAGCGCCACGTGCAATTGCACCACGCCGTCGCGCAACAGGTCGGTAGTATACAGTAACGGATTATTAATTGTACGTTTGCTAGTAACAAGTAATATTTAAACGAACACTACACAGTCCCCTCCCCCATGACCACGAAAACGTTGGAAATTAAAATAAGTAAATTAAACACGATATCAAAGGAGATATTGACGGCAGCTTGGGCCAAAAGACAGTCGATGGTGACAGTATTTTAAGGCACCTAAATAGTAGCCTAAGTAGTTCACATAACCATTGGAGCTTTGGTTTCACCGTTTCCACTAATTGTTCATATGAGCAGACATTTAATACACAAAATCGCACCACTTTATATATCAAAATCCATTTCAAACCATTAATTATACAATAATACAGGGCAGCTATCCGTCGGCGGTCAAGTTCCGCCAAAACTCAATCAAAACTTTCAGAGCTCACACTATACACGTGGTAGAACCACACTGCAGCTTTATTATGGTTGTAGCACGAATGTGTCAGCTCAATCAAAAAGGACCACGCTATCACATAATAACAACGTAAAATAGCGACTTATCGCTGCAATATATTATATGGCGTGTGAAGAGAACCGGAGACCCCTTTTTACTGGAAACGAGGCATTCCATCTTAGTCCTGAGGCTCAGGCGTGACAACAAATCTCCGTTTTGATTCTTAGTCGAGGATAAATGTAGAGGTCTGCTGCAGGAAGGTGCTGCTGCTCACTTCCCGTTTTAGTTTTTCTTTGTTGTCACTTACGACATACACGGGACGATATGGGGTAGTGGATATTATTACATAGCCACCTATCGATCACTAATAAAAAACTAGATACACAATCAGTGACAAAAATATCCTTACCGAATGAGCTCCCACTCGAACATTTGGGTGCGCTTTTAATTTGTACGTAGCTTTGTGAATACAACCTTAGGCAATGCATTTAAGGTTGAATTTACGTTAATGTATATTTATTTCAACTAAATTATTATTATTTAAATTTAAAAAATTATTATTATAATTACGTTAAAACAATTGGCGACAGTTTTTAGACAACTTTTGCATGGGATTGTGTATCTAGTTTTTTATTAGTGATCGATGCCGCTACCACACGAATTTAACAATGTTCGTGCATTGGTTACAGACATTAAACGGAGAAATGGTCCGTCCGAAGCGTGCGGATAATAACAACGTGGTGGACAGCGGTGACGGGGCGTGCACGCCGTGTGTGAGCGGAGAGGGCGGGCTTAGCGAGGAGCGCAGACGCAAGAACGGCGCGGTGGCGCTGCAGTGCGCGTACTGCGGCGAGCGCACGCGCAGCCGCGCCGAGCTGGAGGCGCACACGCGCGCGCACGCCGGCGCCGCGCGCCACAAGTGCCTCATCTGCGACGAGGTGCTGCCTTCCGCCGGCGTGCTGGCCGAGCACAAGCTCTCACATTGCAAGGTATTACTTTTTTTATAGGAATAGGGTGACAAACGAGCACACAGTCCACCTGATGGTAAGTGGTTGCTGTGACCCATAGACATCTACATTTATCCTCAATAAAGAATCAAAATGCAGATGCGTCGTCACCCATGAGGACTAAGATGGAATGCCTCTTTTACAGTAAAAAAAGGTCTCCGGTTCTCTACACTCATCATACGAAACACAGCAGTGTTAAACTGCTATTTTACGCTGGTATTCTGTGAGAGCGTGGTCCTTCCCCGGTCGAGCCGACCCATTCGTGCTACAACTATACTACTAATATAGCTGCAGCATGGCTCTACCACGTTGAAACTTATTGCTAAACTATTCACAAAACAAACACACACACAAACAATGAAACAAACACGCACAAACGCAAGTGCCATACTCAAAAACCTTACTTTACAGCCAATTGAAGTCCATTGCTGAATATCTCATAGGGATAATATTCGCCATAGTTGCTACGCTTGGCATGCGGGTAGGCAACGCCAATTTTTTTATTTGTTTTTAGTTTGACGTTGCTGCTGATCTCCTAGTTAGTTTCCCTCTGTACGCTTACGACACCCACGGAACGCTATGGGGTAGTGGATATTCTTATGCCGCCACTTCACGATTATGGTACTTAATTATTCATTATAAATAGTTTATCAGGGTACTTCATTAGCAATAAACTATTCACAAAACAAATATAAAAGTTTTCCAGAACAGGATATTAACTAAGACTGATCCATCCATCCATCCATCATATAAAGACCACTGCTGAACATAGGGCCTTCACTCATAGATATTCCCCCATAAGGAAAATTTTGCAATAGTTGCCACGCTGACCAGGTAGGTTGGCAACCCAGTTTCTTTTTTTTTCGGCTGTCGAGAAGACCCAAATTCTGTTTCAGATACCAATTTTTAAATCTCACGACACCCATGGAAGGATATGAGGTAGTGGATATTCTAACACCACTACGCAATCAATAGAATAAACTTAGATAAAAGGATTTTCTTTTGGGTTATTTGCCAGTGATGAAAATACGCTGGTGATGTAAATTGCATATGCATATGCATATGCATTTTTATTTATACATAATATAACTCTCTGGTGGTTATTCATATATAATGTAACTATATGATAACTGCCGGTCAGAGATTTTTATTCCTGTCCATATGACGAATTCGCCCTAAACGTTTTTATGGCAATTCTCCATATTTTAGGAGAGGCCAATAATCAACAGTCTACCTGATGAAAATATAGAAAGCCACAGGTGCGTTTTCACCCTTGAGGATAAGGTGAATGTAGTAATAATTATAGACTGCTATTGTACTGGATGCCTTCAAATTGGGTGGGTGGGCGCTTTCCGTGCAGTTTTACTGCAGAATTTTTATTGCTGAGAAATGGCAGTACCAAACTAGACAAACTCTCAAAAATTTTATATCTAGAAAAGTGATAAGGACTTTGTAAACAGACACTGTTGCTATGTATAAAAAGCTAATAATGAAATATATTTTTAGGTTATTGCCGGCGACACATGTTCACGATGCCGGGCAAGACTGCCCTCTGAAGAAGTATTCCTCACTCATATGGCACGACATCATCCCACGCTACCAGCTCCTTGCGTTGTTTGTCGCCAAACGCTGGCTTCTGAAGCAGAAGCCCGACTTCACGCTCGTTTCCATTTACGTCCAAATGAAGACGAACAACGATGCGCGATATGTCTAAGAGCTTTATCTGAGAGTGAGGCTGGTGAGGGAGTGAGAGCGTGCTCCGCCTGTTACGTTCGTCATTCTACGCCGAGACCTCCTCCGACCGCTGACAATGACTGTCGACTTTGCAGAAGATCCCTCGGCTCACCAACTCGCCTACAAGCACATCTTATTGAACACACATTCGCAGGAATTGGAGCCTTCACGTGCTATCTGTGTTCGGCTGTGTTTACAAGTGCAGCAGGCTTGCAACGACATCTCCCAGAACATGCATCCGCGCCACGCCCTTACGATTGCGCTCGTTGTGGAATAAAGTTCTTCTTTCGCGCTGAGCTCGACAACCACGCCTTCGTACATATCGAGGAGGCGGAACTAGCTCAGAGAGCCTTCTACGAAGCTTACGCGAGGGGCGCCGCATCTGCATGGGCGGCTCTAGCTCCACCATCAGAAAATACGCCCATGCCGTCAGCATCAGGTCCTGTAACACCTGGATCAGAAGTTCCAGTGAAAGTAGAGCCTGATATCAAAGAAGAACGTAACATTGAAGAATATATCGAAGTATCCTCGCCTCCCCCTTCTGCCCCGCCACCTCAGCAGCCGACTGCGACATCACCGGCCCCCGTAGTAAAGCAAGAAAAACCCGACGAAGAATGAGCGTATTCGTCCGGTTCTTTATGAACGTTAAATCGTCCGTAACGTGGGTTCATACCCGCTGCAATATTAGATTACGTCCCAATAAATAACGCTGTAGCTAGTTATGTTTACTGTTATTTTAACTGTTGAAATTAAGCGTTTAGAACGCCGCGTTGATTGTAAGTATACATATTAAAGTTAGATCGTATCGTTTATGTTGTATGTTTTATAACATTTACACCCTAACTTGTATAAATTGTTAACTTAATAAATTATTATGTTAGGCTTTACATCTAAATGGTGTTTTTTTTTAATTGCCTTTAAAAAAATAATGAAAATGATATGAAGTATGATGGGAAATATAAGAGTTCCAAGTTTTTTAAGGGGAAAAAAGGATTGAGCAGCGTAGAGGCAAGGATTTCTACATGCGTACCAGAAAATTATTTATCGAAGAAGGAGGATGAATTTACTAGAGTATGAAGGGAAGGGAAAGATTGTGAGAGCGGTTTACCATTCGACAGACTTAAATTTTGCGATCATTATTACGCCTTAATATAAGAAAATTTTCATGTGATAGCTTGAGCTGTCCGTATTATGCGATCTCATAATAAGAGTGGCTTATGACTGTCCGAATGCTACAACTTGGACGCGGGTATTAGAAATGAAGACTAGTTTAAAAAATTTAATTGAAACTAATACCAAAACTTACCAAAACTAATATGCTAATAGCGAATCGAAAAATAAAAGCCACTTTTATGCAACTCTTATAAGTAGACTAAGAAATATTATAAGTTAAAAGTAACAAATAAAAGTCGCTTAACAGTTACCTACATTAACAATTTTTCCAGAGCATACGCGTCGAATATATAACTTCCTAGTTTAGGTAATAAAGATACAAACTCCACATTAGAATTATTTAATTAAAGTGTATAAGGTAGCCACTAAGCTTAGCGAATGCCGTGAACTTCATAGTACGCTAGCTACCCCGTCGAGTTCGACATCCATCCCCGCCGGCGCCAATGAAATTAATAATTGCCATTGAGTTATATGTACTACGTACTAGAGAAGCCTTTCTAAACAAAAAATGTGTACTACTCTGTCTTCGCGCATGCGCGGGAGATAGTAAAGTCGCGCATGCGACGATTTAAGCGATTTAAGCGCGTTGCGCCTGCGCGGTCAGTTTTTAATTTAAACTTTAATTTGAAATCTTGTATTATTAGCGCCGCTTCACACTGCATGTATATTGAAACCACAGACTAACTGGTAGATTGAAACCACACTAAATGATACACGGTACGGATTGTAGTACAGTTCAGTTGAACATAGTGTATGTTCGGAATGCGTAATCTAGAACGTAGTACATATATATGGATGAAAATTTAATTTTTAAGTTCTGATTACACGATGAGCTTGGCAGTGAAAGTAAACCTGGTGAGAAAGCATGCATATTTGAGGAATGAAACATTTTGAGGACGTTTTAAGCCTGCCGACACGCACACTGGAGCAGCGTGACGAACTATTTACTACTCGTATCTACGACACGTTATGGTACATCTGAAGACACTTAAATGAATCCTTCATATTTACTATCATCAACAGTTAAAATTCAAGTTGAAAAAGGCTCTAATTGTGTTAGCAATACAAACATTTTACTAAAGAAACTTGTACTACAAGTATATTTAGATTCAGTCATAATGTTATTTCCTTCATGTAAAATAATTCAATTTTTAAATTTATTGCTTATTCACAAATCACAACTCTATTCTTTTGTGTATAATTATTATGTAATTGAATCCCTGTGTAGTTAATAGAAGAATATGTGGAATCCATCACCCAAACCACACCAAGGGTGTCGTAAGAGACGACAGAGAGAAACTGCAACAGGAAATGGGCTGCAGCATCTTCCTGATAACAACTCTGTACGTGGTAGAGCCATGCCGCAGCTATATTAGTAGTATAGTTGTAGCATGAATGGGTCGGCTCAACCGGCGAAGCACCACGCTCTCACAGAATACCAGCGTCAAATGGCAGCTTGACACTGCTGTGTTTCGTATGGTGTGTGTAGAGAACCGGAGACCCATTTTACTGGAAAAGAGGCATTCCATCTTAGTCCTCACAGGTGACGACGCATCTGCATTTTGATTCTTTATTGAGGATAAATGTAGATGTCTATGGGCCACAGCAACCAATTACCACCAGGTGGACTGTGTGTCACCCTATCCTATTAAAAAAAACTAAAAATAATAAAAAACGTGCGTGAGTGTCGTGGAACACTCGGTTGCAACGAATTTCCTTTCGTAGTATATTATTATAATTGATAAACGTAATATATTATTGATTAACAAATACAAATAAATGAAGCATCATTTAAAATAATATTTCTTTCATGGCAAGATATATAAAAGTGCGAGGGAGATGGATATTATTCCATCTTACTCGCACTATAGAAAGGAGGTCGTGACGGAAAAATCTTATCTTACACTTTTTCTCGCCTAGCCTCCAACCGCCAAATTCGTACCGTGCGATAAGGAACTTCGTTCCAAACAGTGCGGTTACCGCACCGCATAATAAGCGTAGCTATTATTGAATAATTGATGTATCCGGAACAGTTCTTTCGAATAAAACAGACAATATCTTCTCTTTTCTCTTCTATTAGAACAGGTCATCCAATCTCGGTAAAAAGTAATTGTAAAGGCTACACTCTTTGTGGCGCTTAAAAAGTCACGCTGTGTTTTTGTTTCCGCGGCAAGTGCAGCATCATCACCGACGATCTCTGATGATGTATTGTGTGATGAACGTGGTAACGTCATCATAATTATATTTCGATAGAGCTATACTAACAGTAATAATTTATGTTTCGTTTTTTTAAATAGTCCCAGAAATACATATAGGTAGTTTCGCCTCGTTAGTCTCTTGGTCGTAACCAAGATTGCTAATCATTAGGACCTGGGTTCGAATCCCGGGCCAAGCCAAAACCAGTAATTAGGCTTTTTTGTCAAGAAATTCTCAGTAGGAGCCCATAGTCAGGCGGTGTTTTACCCACGTGCCTCGGAAAGCATGTAAAGCCGTTGCTCTTACGCCTGATCTCTCTCCGACTGTGTCGGATTATCGTCCCATCAGATTATGAAAGCGAGTGAGTAGAGAGTGACAAACACAGGATCGCGCATGCATTCGGGCACTATAATCTTGTCCTGGCGCAGATAGCTAATTTACATTGAGACTGGCCACCGTGAACTATAATCGGTCTGGAGGATTTTAAAATGAGTGCAACACGCACTTCTATAACATTACGGAGTCTATTATTAGTTGTTAATTTAACAATGTTACAGATTGGGGACACCCCTTTATTGTGCAGCTAAAATGTTATTTTTGTCAATATCCATCCATTCATCCATTGAGCGGTTTTCCAATAACAGGCACGGCAGCAGCACCGGCGACGGCACCGGCGACGGCACGGGCACGTTAGTTTTTCCACTGCACCGGTGCCGGTGCCGATCTACGCTCGGTTTTTGGACAGTACTAACACAGACTTCAGTTCTACAGCACCTAAAAATAGTGTCTTCAAGTCGTCGTATGTTTATTATATCTCTTACATTTAAGCCAAAAATATAATCAACGCAGAGAAATTAAATTTTAAATTCATCTAATTTTAAAAAGAAAATGTTTGAAGGAACATATATACCCTTTTAAAAGATGGAAATGGACTCTAAAAAATATTTCAATTACTTCCGCATGAACGAGAAGACATTTCATCATTTCACAAGTCTATTTCGAGTCTCAATCTCAACGCGTCCCTTTTACTTCGTCTCGCGCACACGCACACATGCACACGGCTGCAATACGTACACAATACACATGCAGTTTTGCCGGCCGGCAACGAATGAGAAGCTTGCTGTCACGGCACCGGCGACAGCACCAGTGGAAGTCAACGCCGTGCCGTCGTAAGGTAAGTGGAAAAACATGCCATATATTTCATACATTTTTGTAAATTTTTGCTACCCCGGCAGCCGTGCCGTCGCCGTACCGGTAAATGGAAAGCTTATAAAAGTCTACCGCTGAATAAAGGCCTCTCCCTTTGATTGCCATAGTTGCCACGCTTGGCAGGCATTTTGGCAGGCATTTTGGCAACGGCCAAAATGCCTGTTGCCAAAATGCCTGCCAAGCGTGTTTTTGTAATTTCGTGTTGTTATCAGGAAAACGCTGCTGTCCATCTCCTGGTTTGTTTCCCTTTATCGCCTCTTACGACACCCACGGGACGATATGGAATATTGGATATTCTTACACCGCACATCACGGTCAACATGAGTGTAGGTAAATAATTTATTTTTAGGCATTTTCTGGGTGAAATCCCCTATGGAACACTCTATGGGGGAAGTTTATGCTCAGCAGTGGACTTCTATTTCAATCTTTAAGTAGCTTATAAATTATTTCGGTTGTAACATATATTCAAGTAATAATTTAGTATCTTGTTAATTTTACAGCATCCACTTTTCATCATGTGGATCGTGTGTTATGTTGTCACCTTGTTTTTTATAAATAAAATCTTGGTCTTATAAAATATAGTACTTTTGTTTTTTATGATTTAATTTAATTTAATGTTTCATTAAATGCATTTTTTATAGTTTGTATATAAGGGGACTAGGACATAAGCAATAAATAATCTTTATTGTATTATCTGGAAAAATATAATAATATAAAAAGAGGTAATTTTGACAACTCCAGCTACAATAAACCAATTTATCTTAAATACGTATTCAGTTAAAAAACATAGAGAATAAGAACACAATTTAAAAAAGGCGTTACTAAACACGTATATAAAAAAGTCATAAATTAGATAGTTCAAGCTGCGGCCACTTGCTGCTGTATCCAAGGCAATAACGCAGCAATGTTAACATACGCTGCGGGAACATTGGCATTCGCGCATCCAAGACCCCATGCTACTAGACCCACCACCACCCACTGGCCGTTCACTTGGCAAAATAATCCAGAACCTCCATCACCCTAAAATGATAAATTACTCA